AAGGTACATCTTTTTCTTTAGTCGTTGAAACATGTTTAGCGGTGTTATCTACCAGTACCTGGTGTGTAGATACATGAGCCACTGATCATGTCTGCAATTCTATGCAGGGGTTCCAGGAAACCAAACGGCTTAGGGAAGGAGAAGTCACCATCTACTTGAGCGATGCTAGTAGAGCGTCAGCAGTTTGCAGTGGGAGACGTCTATTTAGATTTTGAGTTAGATAGGACTTTGGTTTTGAAAAATTGTCTTTATGTTCCTAGTTTTATAAAGAATTTGATTTCAGTTTCTAAGTTGATTATGAACGGTTTTTCTGCTATTTTCGATAATAAAGTTGTTTCGTTTTGGTAAAAAGTTCATATGTTCTGGTTCATTGGTAGGCAATCTGTATATTTTAGAACCAAAGTCATCTCCACTGCAACATAAACAATTACTTAATTCATCATCTAATCTGAATAAGAGAAAGGAACCTTCGAATATGAACGAAACATATCTTTGGCATCTAAGACTTGGTCATATAAACCTTAGGAGGATTCAAAGGTTGGTAGCAGATGGGCCCTTGGGGTCGTTGGAAGTCGAGACTTTTCCAACTTGTGAGTCTTTCCTGGAAGGCAAAATGACTAAGAGGGTTTTTAAATCAAAGGGGAATAGAGCCGAAGATTTGTTAGGGCTGGTTCATTCCGATCTATGTGGTCCTATGTCTATTCAAGCGAGAGGTGGTTTTGAGTACTTCGTTACGTTTATCGATGACTACTCGAGATATGGGTACATTTTCCTATTGCGCCGCAAGTCTGAGTGCTTTGAGAAATTCTTAGAGTATAAGGCTTTTCCAACTTGTGAGTTTTGCCTGGAAGGCAAAATGATTAAGAGGGTTTTTAAATGAAAGGGAATAGAGCCGAAGATTTGTTAGGGCAAGTTCATTCTGATCTATGTGGTCCTATGTCTATTCAAGCGAGAGGTGGTTTCGAGTACTTCATTACGTTTATCGATGACTACTTGAGATATGGGTACATTTTCCTATTGCGCCGCAAGTCTGAATGCTTTGAGAAATTCTTAGAGTATAAGGCGGTTGTGGAGAAGCAGTTAGGAAAAAGTATATAGTCATTACCGTCAGATCATGGTGGCGAATATCTCTCGAATGACGGATAATGGGATTACTTCTCAACTGACTGCGCCAGGCACACCCCAGCAGAATGTTGTGGCAGAGCGAAGGAATAGGACTTTTATGGAAATGGTTAGGGTAATGATGAGTTATAGTACATTACCCAATTCGTTTCGGGGATATGCCCTAGAAACAGCGGTATACGTTCTGAATAGGTTCTAAATTAGTACCATCTACACCATTGGAGTTGTGGTCTGGACGCAAGCCCAGTCTAAGGCATCTCAAGATTTGGGGTAGTCCAGCACATGTGCTGAGAACCGATACTGATAAACTGAAATCTAGAACAGAAGTAAGGTTGTTTGTTGGATATCCTAAGGAAACAAAAGGTGGTCTATTTTATATCCCCGAGGACCAGAAAGTAATCGTTAGCACGAATGCGAGGTTCTTAGAAGAAGACTACGTGTTAGATCACAAGCCCAATAGTAGACATGTCCTTGAGGAGGTAAAGGGAGTGAATACTTCAATACCGAGTGCGCTAGATGTTACACCACAAAGTACTGCAACACGTGTCGCTGATGATGCACCTGAGCAGATAGTACCTCGTCGTAGTGGGAGGGTTGTCCGGCAGTCCGAACGATTCATGGTTCTGGGAGAGTCTTCTGAGGCCATCCCAGATGTTCTTGAAATCAACCCATGGACATACAATGAGGCACTTCAAGATCGGGACATAGAGTCTTGGCAAAAGGTGATGAAGTCTGAGATGGATTCTATGGATTCCAATCAGGTCTGGGATCTTGTAGAACCACCCAGTGGCGTGCATACCATTGGATGCAAGTGGGTCTATAAGAGAAAGAGAGGAGCAAATGGGAAGGTTGAGACCTTCAAAGCTAGGCTTGTTGCGAAAGGGTATACTCAGAAAGAAGGGATCGATTATGAGAAAACTTTTCGCCGGTAGCTATGCTGAAATCCATCAGGATTCTCTTGGTTGTGGCCGCTCATATGGATTATGATATTTGGAAAATAGATGTTAAGACCGCTTTCCTTAACGGGAATATGGACGAGGACATCTACATGCAGCAACCAGAAGGATTCATTGCAAAGAGACAAGAGCATCTGGTCTGTAAGCTGAAAATGTCCATTTATGGCTGAAGCAGGCTTCGAGGCCTTGGAACATCCGTTTTGACGAGGTTGTCCAATCGTATGGATTTACCCAATGTCCGGATGAGCACTGTGTGTACAAGAAAAGTGAAGGAAGCGTGGTGGTGTTTCTAGTGTTGTACGTAGATGATATTCTTCTCATTGGAAACAGTGTGAAAATGTTATCAAACGTAAAGGTGTGGTTATCCAAGCAGTTTGATATGAAGGATTTGGGAGAAGTAGGACACGTTCTCGGTATCAAGGTCATTCGGGACCGAGATAAGAGAAAGTTGTGTCTATCTCAATCTACATACATAAACACTGTCCTGAAGCGTTTCAACATGCATGATTCAAAGAAAGGGCATTTTCCTTTCCGACATGGAATCGCTCTATCTAGGAAGATGTCCCCGAAGACACCTCAAGAGATAGAGGACATGAAGGCAGTTCCTTATGCATCCGCAGTAGGAAGCCTCATGTATGCGATGTTGTGTACATGCCCTGATATCTGTTATGCAGTAGGCATGGTGTCAAGATATCAGAGTAATCCAGGGCCGGAACATTGGTCTGCGGTAAAGCATATACTCAATTACCTGAGAAGGACTAAGGAGTACATGTTGATTTACCAGGCAGATGAATTGCTTCCCTTGGGTTACACCGATTCTGACTTCAAGGCAGACCAGGACGAAAGCAAGTCAACCTCAGGGTTTGTGTTTACTTTAGGAGGAGGAGCCGTTGTGTGGAGGAGTGTCAAGCAAAAATGCGCGGCAGACTCAACCATGGAGGCTGAGTATGTAGCAGCCTCAGAAGCAGCGAAGGAAGCTATTTGGCTCAGGAATTTTCTCCTTGACCTTGACGTGGTGTCGAGTTTACCCGCAGCCATCACAGTATTTTGTGATAACAGCTGAGCAGTAGAAAATTCGAAGGAGCCACGAAATCATGAAGCGAGTAAACACATAGAGCGCAAGTACCACCTAATACGAGAAATCGTTGGACGAAGAGAAGTCGTTGTTGCCAAGATACAGACAGAGGACAACCTAGCAGATCTTTTTACGAAGAGCCTACCGGCGAAAGTCTTTTCAAGACATGTAGAAGGAATGGGAGTCAGATGTTAGGGCGACATATTAGACTAGTCTTTGAGAATTAGATTAAAAGAGAATTGTGGTTAGTGATAGCCATGAGCTTATTAGGCATAAGTGGGAGATTGTTAGATATGCTGTAAAAGCTTGACTTTCAGATATTAATAACACCATTTTGATCTGGCAATCGCGTTTTAGTCAAAGTACATATGCTTGCAGTTTATTTATTTATGCAATCATTCTCCTTGTCTTACATTGAGATAGTGTGGTTCGTGGTGTCTCAAACAGTAAAGTTACCTATCGGTTCCTTGTAAGGCTGAATCATTTGTTCACAGTCTAGACTGGCAGTGAGACCCCACTTGGAAAAAGACTGTAGTGTACTCTTGATTCAGTTGACCTTTAACTGGAGAATTACACTAGTACTTATGTTAAGTATTGAACAAGACCACCGGAAGGATAAAATTATGAGACTCACTGATCGTTGTTGTAATCTATACCTTCAGTGATTGACGCGTTCTCTAAAGCTATAAGATAATATAAAATAGTCATGTATATTCATTACTTGTTTATTTGATTTACCAAGGGTGATTCCTAATTTGTTAGGATGACATACTTGGTACTTTGGTAAATGAGAATATTTATATGACGAGCTATTATAAATTATTTATGGTAACTGTGTTCCAGTGCGCTGGATTGATGACGTCCCCGAAATGAGCTCAGGAAGGAATATTGTGTTAAACCCTGCAGGTGGATATTTATCCGACACAATGATTAAAGTTTTGAGTGGTGCTAATTTCGGAAATGAATAAGAAGTCGATTAATTATCTTGTCAGTAATTTAATTAATCCACGAACGTTATATCTTAAACATGAGGAGGTAAATCGGTCAATTAGATTAATATTTATTAATCAAGTGAAGGTTTAATTTAATTAATTAAATTGGAGCCAAATGGGGAGAGCAATAATAATATTCCAGTGGGATATGTTATTATTTAATTTTATTAGGATTTTAGGAATTAATTTTCTTCATATTTATTATTCCAAGACTTAGGGAATATTCCTTCTAGAATATTACCTAGGGTTAGGAGACTAGAGAGTCTTCTAGAAGGTAATGTTAGGAGAAAGGAATCATGACCTAATATGGATTAGTTTATGGAGTGGAATTAGGATTCCTTGGCCTAATGGGATAAGCCCATATTTGGCCTCCTTAAGGTCCCTAATGGAACCTATAAATACACCATGTCCCAACCTCTTGAGAACACATTGTGAGGGCCGATTTTTTCATCTACAAGAGAGGGAAAAATTGTCTTGATCAAGAGTTAGGGAGATTCAGTTAATCGCACCACCAAGATTAATTGAAGTAGGTGTTTAGGTAATCCATTAGAAGGCTTTAAGGTAATATTTCATTAAACCTCAAAGCTTCAAATATTCCGGTCATCCTTCTCAGCCGTCCGCCGCCGTCTGCCGCTGTCCTCCGCCACCGGAAATCGCTGCCACCGAGAACCGCCCCGAGCCCAGCCGCACGCGATCGCGAGCACAGGCCCGTAGCCGCGAGCATCGCGACCAGTTCCCAGCGACGGGCATTGGCCCCAGCTCCTCTGCGTGCAGACCCCGATCGTCCTGTTCGTGATCTGTGCGTCTCGCATCCGTGTACCACGCGCACGCCAGTCCGCGCTCGCCTAGGAGTCCTCACGACGTCCGCGTGACCTGCACGCCTCGCTCGTCTTGTCTGCCTCGACCTAGGAGAGCCGCACGACACGCGCCCGCGCAAGGACGCGACCTGCTGCCCAGCACGTCACGCCCGACGCGACCTGCCAGCGACACGCAACACGCGACCAGCACCAAACCGCGACCCGTGCCAACCGGTCCAGACCAACTGCTATCCGCGACTGAACCGCTGCAAATCGACCCGACCGAGACTTGATCTGAAGCGGTCCAAATCCGATCAACTTGTTCCGGTGATCCNAAAAAAAAAAAAAAAGTCGACGATGAAGATCGCCATGTCTAGGCAGAAATTATTAAAGTACTCTTAAATGGTTATAGTTTATACAAAAAATATATAAATTGAAAAATCGATCAGGAAATTTCAGTGAAGCTTCTATACAGGTTTCCTAGTTCGGTGGAAAGAAATCATATGAAACTAAATGATATAATTCATAATCAAACAATAACCACGGAGGGACAATTTTTACAGTTTCAAAAAAAATTGATAACTAAAGCAGTAAAATTTTCACCTACCTAGTAATCGAAGAGAAAGAAGAAATTAAAAGTTACATAAAAGATAATAAATAAATGAACCAATTCAAAATAATATGTGCTTATTTCGTAACCAATTTGAGTTTGATTTGAAAGACCAAAATCGCACCGACATGTAAAGGGATTTCGTTGTCAGATTCAGAAGCCCCAAAGCGCATCAATTTGTTCTACAATTGAGATCTTCCAACATGCTTCAATGGTATTGAGTCTAGACAAAAGTCACAAACACAACAAATAATGGAGATTCAGAATAATGAAGTAGAAGAAAAGTTTTTTCTTGAGGACCTTTTTTTTTCACCGGCATGTCTAACGGGAAGATGGAAAATCCCATCATGCAAACAAAGACTTTTTACCAGCTCCGATTATTTATTTTTCAGTAGGGTGGCGCTTGACACAGCTCAACAACCCAATTTTCCTAAAAAAAATCCCCAACAACAAACCAAAAAAAAAAAGACAAAAATATCCTAAAAATAAAATAAATCTCATCAAATTAGCAAACGGACATTCCCCACCATTGTCGTCTCCATCCTCCTATTCATCCCCTCCGCCGTTGGATCTGCTGTTTCCACGGACCTCCGAACGAAAAAAATGTCAAGATCTAGACCTGAGTTGAAGCATAAACCCGGGGCTTTCATCTCCGACGAAGCCAAATTCTGCCATCACGGAACCGAATATCTCGACACTGGTCTTCAGGGACATGTCGAACGGGCGGCAGAGTTCTTTCGGCCTGTAGCTAAATATAAACAGCGAGCAAGACCCTAGCCCAACTTCGAAGTTGATGGAGAGCTTGTTGGGATCGCAGCAGGCTATCTCGGTGAAGAAGAAGGAGAATTATTGATGAATTGGGGTTTCAGATTCTTTCAAGATGTGGGATTTTCTCTCAAGCGAATCGAAGCGAAATATCGTCGAAGGAGAGAAGGATTTTGGAAGAATTGGGGTTTCTGGTTATTTCACGATATGAGATTTTTTCTCGAGCTAATAAGCAAAATTTAATGGAGTGAGTGGAGGACTATACGGGATTTTCTGGAGCCAAACATGTAGATATTTTAGGTAATTTGTATTTTGAATGAATAAATCCCTACATATAAGGATTTTGTTTCTTCAAACATGAGAAGTGCAAGTCCATAAATAATTACATATTTCCAAAATGAATTAGTCAAACACGTGAGCATTCAAAATTTAAAATTCCAATTGGATTTCCATTTGGGCTAAGTCAAAGTTTTGACTCAATTATTTTAGGTTTCTAAAAAAGAATTTAACATCAACCTTTTTAGATATATATAGATATAGATTATTCCTTAATTAATACAACTAATGGTGTATTCCAAATCTACTCCTTTATATTACTATTTTGTGTTTTTAAAGTCATTTATATACAGTCAGTTTTAACGGCGGTTTTCTTCTTCTTTATCTTCCTTCTCACTCTTTTTTTTTCCTATCATTTTTTTTTAAAACCAACACCAGAGTAGGGTGGGGGGTCCTATCGTTTTTTCTTACCCTCTTTCTTCTTCTTTTTTTCTTTCTCACATTTCCGAACAGGGGAGAAATCAGAAAATTAGTTGAGAGGGGGCAAAAGACATTACATAATTTGTAAAAACTAACAAAAATGCATAAAAAAAAGTTAGCTTATAAGTACAACTGTTCGCGGCGATATGACATGGCCTGAAATCGTTGCATAATGGTTTCATTACTAATTTTATCAAAAACATCTTTTTCAACGTACATAACCATACAAGCGTTAAGCCAATCATTTTCCATTTGGTTGTGTAGTCAGATTTTTTATGATCATCATTGCAGAAAATGCTTTCTCCACAATAGCAGTAGCAACCGACAATATCAACGCTAAAGTAATAAGCATATAGATCAAATAATATGTCATATGCCTTCTAATTTCCATATCCGTCAGTTTTAAAAGAAAAGTAAGATTTAAACATTTAATTGTCTATTAAGTATTAACTATTTAACTTAATTTATTATTTTATTTAACAAGTTGGCCTACCAAGTGACTTTTGAAAACAAAAAATTTGGGGTTGGGGGTGCAAAAATAAATTTTAGAGGGGACAAATTAAATTTTTAATATTAATAGCAAAAAAATAAAATTTGAGGGGGGGCAATTGCCCCCCTATTAATGTATGTAGAATCGCCCATGTTTCCGAAACCACTCGATCCCCATTTTTCTCCAAGCTCTCGTCTAACCTTTCCGGAGATCCCACGACCGCCCCGTCCCCAATTCGTCATCTCCTTTCCCATATTCTTCTTCTTCTTCCCTCGCCCTGTCACAGCTCGGCGTCTTCATAGGCGTGCAATCCCGGAAGCAGCGAGCCTAAGAAGTTCGGAGGACGAGGCGCCCGTGTGATATTCCTGAAACAGTACAATTGAATTTTTATGTTTATTATCGTGATGAACAATATTTTTATGAGGATTATGTTAACAAAATTCCTATTTTTTTTTCGGTAAAAAACAAAATTCCTATTTAAATGAAGGTAATTGTGTTAAATAATATTCATCTTTATGTTTGCAATTAGTTTGATACTTGCTAAATAAAATTTCAAATTTCCCAACTGCCATATACTGATGATCCATTTAAGGCATTAAATTTTTTATTTGTGTGATGAAATCTGAATTTATGTGTTATGATTGTTGTAATGGTGATTATTTTGTTGTAAAATTTACAATGTCATATATTTGTTATAAAAATTAATTGTAAATATTTTATTGTTAATACAAAGATGTTTTCATTTACTTGATAAGTAGTATATTGTTGTTTGATTGTATCTTGTTTGTTGTTTTCTATAAATTATATTATTAATTTTTGTTGCAATAACAAAACTTTTGCGTTGCTTTTCTAGATAATTTAATTGTTATGTATGTATATAACATATTGATTAATATTTTTTTTATTTTTTTAGTGTTTTTTTAGGCAGGAGAAGAAGAAGTAGATTAGAGAAAATGAAAGAGAGAGAGAAAATAGAGAGAAGGAAAAAAAAGGGGAAGAGAGGGAGTGAAAAAGAGATAAGATAGTTCTTATCAGTTGGTTCTTTTAGACGGTTTTATCTATATATATATATAATAAGAATTAATATTTTTAGAAAATAGTAAGCAAAAAAATAGGAAATATTAATTGCATTCCATTTTTGGTATGTTTTTTTAATTTTTTTAATAAAAAACCAAGTAGCATTTAATGGTAGCATAAATCATGGGATTTGTTATATAGATGCATATTTCAATTTCAAACTTCAAACAAAACATGCCTAAATGTATTTTGAATTTTTTAGGGAAAAATTTTAACAAACACGTTAAAGATTTCATACAATACATATATATATATATATATATATATTATCTTAACATATAGGTTAATCAATTTCATATCTAAACAATATATATTTAAACAATATATAAACAAATATAATAATTTGTCGTACAATACAGATAAATATATAAACAATATATTTATATACAAATATAATAAACAAATATAATAAACAATACAAACAAATATACAAACAATATATAAACAAATATAATAACTTGTCACGTGTATATTTCGTACACTACATATATTTATATATATTTTCTTAACATATAAGTTAATTAGTTTCATATCTAAACAATATATATTTTAGGAACTTAAAGATTCATAACATTACTGACGTCATGTATATTTATAATATATTGTCACGTACATTTTACTACAATTGGTAACTTTTTTAAAATTATTTGAATAACTGGAGGTTGATTTGTAATTTGAATTTCAAATTCATTCAAACATTTAAAGGAAAATGTCATAAGCATATTTTTTTGATACATTTCATTTTATCTCAACTTACATATATTCATTTTCGAATGATTTGTTTCTCATAGCATCGGATAGAATTAATAATTGCATAGAATTCAATTATGATTTCGAATTTATATCAAGGATGTTTAATAATTGCATAGAATTTCAAAGGTGTTTATTTATTATAAAAAATTAAATTCTAGAAAAACATTTGTGTATATTTTATAAAATGTTTGTACAAAATGTTTTACTTTAAATTTATTTACCTAATTTAAATTAATTACATTAATAAGTAATATGAACATACATTAAATATTTTAATTATATAAAACAAAAATAAAAAAAGAAAAGAAGAAGACTACATCTATAACTTGCATAAAAAATAATTATGAAATTATATTACAATAAATTTTATAATAAAATAATATGAGTATTATACGAGGAACAATATTACGTAAAATTGTTATTTTTCTTATATCAAAGAATAAATATATATATATATATATATATATATATATATATATATAATGAAATCAAATTTATATTATTATAAACATGTGAGCGAGATAATATATTAATAATTTATGGGCTTGCGCTACCAGACTCAGGTTTAATGTTCCGACAAAAAAAAAACCATGACGTTGATGAAAAGATGTAAAAAGATAGATGATCAAACTTTATTATTTTTTAGGCCTGTACGGACAAGCCCTATGGTCCATTTATTTAATATCTCTCGTGAATCGCACGAGCTACTTAACGAACAAGCTCTGTGGAAATTACTCATTTAATACTTATGTCCCGTGCATCGCACGGGCTACGTACTAGTTTAAATTGAAAGAATTCAAACAATTTTTGAATTCTATGTCTTCTATCTATTTTATGGAATATTGATTTATTCGTGGTGTAGTTATGTACTTTCCCCTATTAGTTGTGCCGAGGAGTAACTGAAGCTTTAATCAAAAATCCGAATTGTGTTTCCTTGCTTGTAGATTTCCGAAGTGCGGTAATTTTTCTAAACCGATGTTGAAATTCTTTTAAGAATTTTGCTTAGATTAAATTTTAGATATTTTTTCTTAGGGGAGAGATTTCTATATATTTTCGAGTAAATGAGATAATTTTGTTTATTAAAATTAACTTGCCAAATTTTAGGTTTCCGAGAAGTCGAGCCCTCGAACCCACCATGATCATTACTTTTGTCCTTTCCGGTCTTTTCCGAACTGAGGTGGGTGTTGCTAAACTTTACTGTACAGTTATTCTTTATAATCGCTAGTTTGATAATCAATGTATGTATGTGAACCATTAGTCTATGAGAGGTTCTCACGTTGATGTTGTGCTGACGTTCCCCTATTTTGCCCATAGAGAGGTTCTCCCGTTGATGTTGTGCTGACGGCTTAGCTCCCGTTGATGTTGTGCCAACGGTTTAGATGTGATCACATGAGCGTAAGGCGTTATAAGAGGTAGACTAGATGATTTGTGTTCATGTTGCAATTATGCTTTCTGTTATTATACTGGATATATCGTACTGTATTCCCATAGTGAGCTAGTGGTTTGCTCACCCCCATAATCCCCCTTTCAAGTTGAAGTTGGCGGCCAAGGTGATGACGAGACGAGGATGGTCTAATTGTTTCTAAAGTGTTTATTTCTCTAAATTGTTCATTATTCACTTCCACTTAATGTTATCGAAATTGGTGTAATGTTTTGCTTTGAAACTTTGGAACTGTTTGAGAGATGTTATAAATAGTTATTTGAATTGATTTTATTTTCACGTAATAGTGTGGTGATATGTTGGGAAAATGAAGTTTCGTTGAATCGGACATGTATGGTGTTTAAATAAAATGATTTTGAGTAATGCCCGTCAAATGTTTTTTTTTAAATGCAAATTTTCTCTCTGAAAAATTAATAACAATTTACTTATATTTTTGAAAAATTGATTCTCTCTTTAAAAAAAACTTGGATAAATTTCTTTTAAAAATAACGGGCCGTTACAGTAGCAATAAGGGGGTGAGAATAGAAATTCACTTTTTTTCTAATCAAACAAGGTTTACCATTTTTCCTTCACTCACCCTTTACAAAATCTCTCTAAACAAAATAAAATTATTTTAAATCACCTCCCCTCCCCTTCACTTCCTCCCATTAAAAGAGGGCGGTGAATAGCAATTCACTTTTTCTAATCAAACAAGATTTACCATTTTCCCTTCACTCCCCTCTTACAAAATTCTTCCAACCAAGGTAAAATTATTTTACATCACCTCCCATCCCTTCACTTCCTTCCATTAAAATCTCTCCCTTCCGTTGAACTAGTGCTATAAACGAACCAAATCAAACCGAGCTTGGGCTGTTCGAGCTCGTGTTCGTTTATGTTCGAACAGTGTTCGTGTTCATTCGTTTATTTTTCGAGCAAAAAAATCGTGTTCGAGCTCGTTCGTTTAATTGTTTGTCAAAGTTCGAGTTCGTTCGTATTCAAATAATTTAATACATGAAATTTTTAAATATGTTTGATTCACTCTACAATAAAAAATAAAATAAAAATATTTTATATTTTTAGATTTTTTATTAAAAATATTATGTAAAAATATAAAAAATAAAATAAAATTGTATTAAATTAATGTTTGCGAATATTATCGAACGTTCGCGAACAAGCTCGTGTTCGTTCGAATGTTAAACGAGCCTAATTTTCTTCGAACTCGGTTCGATTAACAAATGAACGAGCTTTTGTCGAACAAGCTTTTATTCGCGCGAACGTTCGATTCGTTTACAACTCTGTGTTGAACCAAATATTGCCTAACAGAAACATCAGAAAAATTAGTTGCCTAAAAAGTTTTCCCCTATGTTTGCCTCCTCCTTTTCAAGGTAAGGTCTTTTGATCTGTTCTTAGTTTCTCTTAGGTTTTTTATTGTCCTTATGGAAAGTTTATTGAATTTCTTCTATGTATGTCTGAAATGAAAAGGATTTTTGTTCCTTGAGTCGTTGTTTGTGTGTTTGATTCGTGAATACCTTAAGGGTTTCTAGATTAAAGCTGCAAATACGTCTATATGAATTACAAATTCTTCTCTAAGAGCTAAAAATCTTGAATTTGTTTT